TGCAAGGCCGACAAACGCCAGGTACGCAGGCTGCATCGTCCAAGGCTGTCGAACCGGGTGCGTGTTGTTGAAGGAAGGGCAGCGCGCCTGGCGATTGCAGCAGGGGCAGGCGTCAGCAGGCTGCGCCTTTATACCCTGCCCCTCCTCACGCCCTTTTGGTTGATGGCATCTCTGTGTGTGAGGGGCTGCAGCTGCAGAGGCCTTGCACAGAGTTGCAACACTGCCGCCGTGTCCTGACATCAGCCCTGGACACGTCGGTACACGTAGAAACTGCTTTATTCTTCTACTCGACAGAAACGCGCCCAGCGAGCGAGGGGCTCCTATCAGGGACCTATGACCCTAGAAGACCGTATGTTCTTAAAAGGGTTGTCGCTCCCGTTGAGGGTAAACTTGACATGTGCCAGGTGCGGGTGCCACTCTGAGTACTCTTGGACAAAGTCCATGACCAGCTTTTCCGGGGCGTGGGCTGCGATAAATATGGTCAGTGTGGGGATCTGCAGCAGCAGGTACTTTGCCACCGGGACTACCATCTCCCACGACGGCTGCTCCTGGTTGACGTTGATGCTGAGCGTCTTTAGCCCAGTGTCGAGCGGCGCCACCACGCAGCCCTTGCCGGGCTCTGGAATCGAAATGTCGGTCTGGATCTCGTCCAGCGCCAGACCATGAATACCCAGGTTGGTCAGGTTGGGAAACCTGAAGATGAGCCCCAGCATCGCGTCCAGGCTCGTTGGAGCCCTTATCACCAGCTGTGTGAGCAAAGCGCACACAGTGGGTTCAAGCATTGATGGCAACGAATGGCCTTTAACGGTCAGGCCGAGCGTTTTGACGCAGTTTACGCGCGCTAGGATGTGGCTGGCAGCAGCTATAGCGGCGGGATTGTCATCGCGGATATTTGCGACGTCGAATACAAAGTGGTCGACGGTCAAGGGTTCCATCTCTGGCATCCGCTGGAGCACAGCAGCAGAGGCGGCGAGTTTAACCGTTTCCATGCGCGGCGGAAACACCATTGACTCGAGTGGCAGGCGAGTACCTGAGCTGCAGCGCAGCTCGAGGGATCTTAGCAATGGAAGGCGGAGCATCCACGGGCATTCATAAGTTGCATCCTCGTGGCCGAAGGAGGCACGGAGCTTTTTCAGGCGCGGAAACTCGACCACCCTGGAGGCACTGTTTGCGCTGAAAGGAGCCCACAGACTTGCAGGCCAGTTGAGCAGGCGCAGTTCCTTCAGCCAAGTAGGATCCACGCGTGGGGGCTGGCGGCCGTCCATGTCGATGTAGTTGAGAGCCACTTGTCTGAGCTGCCCAAATGCGCAATTGAGAGACACAACGACCGACCAACTACCCTTTATTTCCTGCAACTGGTCGGCGTAGAGCTCTACCAACCGCCCGCAGATCTCCATGCCTATGCGGCTGGTAGTCGAGCAGTCAAGCTTTGTTTGGAGTATCCCAGGCATCACAGCAGCCAGCGTGGCGCTGGCCTCTCTTGCCCTGACGGCGTACTCGTCCACATGGGGTTGGAGCCATCATGGTGGTCACTTGAGCGCAGCTTGATCTCCAGCACCTGTGCACGTCTCCACACCGCTGCTGCGTCACGCATCGCCTGGGCCACCTTGCTGAGGCCCGGAAAGGGGTTGTGGTTGCACCACACCTCGATGCGCACACTTTTGACCGCGCCCACGCAGCCGGCAGAGGCAACGAGGTCCAGGTTGGATGCTAGCACGCCGTCGTCGGGCTCGGTATTGGTGTCAACCCCGCTGTTGCTGGTTCTGGTGTCGTATTTTATCCACACCTCGTCGTAGACAAAAGGCAGTGCGAGGCACCTCTACCCCTGGCACATCGAGAGCAGCGGCAGGTTGGCTTTGGCTTTATTTGCCGTGTCCAAATGGTCAGTGACAGACTCCTGGAGGACCAGGCGGAGGACGTCGTCGGGCAGGTCGCAGAGGTGCATGGTTTGGTAGGCAGGGCAAAAGTGGCGGATTCTTTCCTTGTAGTGGCAGAGGGGAAGAAAGACGGGCTGGCCGCCGACGGCAGGATGCGGCCAAAAGGACGGTCCTTTGCATGCGCAACTCCCTTTGAGGACACGAAAGTCATGCCTTGGCCGCAGCAGCGCTAGCCCCAGCTCCTGACCACAACAGGGGGACCATCACTGACCAATCGTAAACCACCAGTACGCTCTCTTACTGGAGCCGCGGTTCCTGCTGCAACCCAAGCCTGGCGCCTGGTATAATGTTGCCCGAGGATGTAATAAATGTCTTTTTTGGATGTGCCAACTTTTATTGAGCTGGACGGAAAAAGACCAAGCATCCCGTAGCACCCCGTGTTGCTGTATGGTGGCAGGTGCCGTAACGTCCAAGCAGGCCCCTTTTGCCGCCCTACCTTAGAAGCCCACCCAGAAAAGAACGTCACCTGTTGGCGGCTGGCCTTTCTGCCAGCACTGCGCCCGTCAGCCAAAAAAGCCCAGCTGCAAAAAACCCTGCCCGCGACCCTTGCCGCGCACCCCGGTCAAAAGGCCCCCGCCTGTGCCGCGGGGCCGCACAGCAGCCAAGCTTGGCCTTTGCACTGCAGTGGTGCCTTTGTATCCCGCCGCCCCTGTTACAAAAACCCACACTACTTCACCCGTGCCGCTTTCCAAAGTGACACGGGCCTGCCAGCCAGAAATTGGCACACCGTCAAGTCTTGCTTGCAGCAAACCACCAACTAGCCGCCGATCCGCCTGTGCTCGACACATAAAAAGGCTGCGGCGCCCACACCCCTTTTCTTCCCCGTCCAAGCACCAAGCACTTTTTCCTTCCTTGCCCCGGACGCCAACTGGCCGACAAACACACCCCGACCAACCCGCTCTCTCGCCGCAAGCAAGCACTAACATGCTTATTACTGTTAACTTTGCACTCTTTGCGAACGATGGAGAGGGGTGGGGGAAGGAGCCTGTAATGCACAGTACAACACTTTCCCTCGACATTGATCCCGAGGACAAGGAAAAAAAACGGTGGGAAAGAGCTCTGGAGATAGTGCAAGAGGCGTTCAGCGAGCTAGCCTCTGACGACGAGAAGCCAGAGAACGTCAATATGTCGATAGCTGTGGCTGGTGAGTACTACGAGCGCATAGTCGGCATAGCGTACGGGAAACCCGGTGTAGCGCTACACAAACTAAAGGATGCTGTGGATGACGGGTCTGGCGATGCAGGCGAGCACCTGTTCAATTTGGGGCGGGCGTAAGTCTGTCTTTTAACGTTGCCAGTTTTATTGAACTAGACAGAAGAACGTCAAATATAGCATTGGTTGGTGGGCGAGGAGTGAGGTGCCATGGCGATGTGTCGGTGTTGCCATCCCTGTCTTTGCCAACGTTGCCAATAAGACACACGCTCTGTACCCTGCTAGAAGACAAGTAGTTGCATGCCTGGCCTGGGCGTTCTGTTTGTCGACAAGCCCAGATGGTTTGGGCTCTATCCAGCACGTCCAGCGACAGCGCTCAGCCAAAATCACGCTCGGCCCACCTGGCCCGGGACCATGCTGCTGAGGCGCAGCTTGGTGCTGCCCTTGCCCAGGACCCTGGGGATGATGCCCTTGCTGTTGCCGGCGCGGTCAATGATGACCACACCCTCGTTTATGAGGTGGCCATTGTCGAGGCCCAGGCGGACGTCGAGTATTCGTCCGTATCGCGCGAGGGGCTGTGCCAGGCGCTTGGCCAGCTCGACGCGGGACTTTATCACGCGGAACCGGACCCAGATCTTTTGCACGGTCTCTGTCGCCTCGATTGGGCGCGCCGGGTTTATGATGCACGACCCCACGACTAGGTTTGTGGATGCAGCAATAGCGGCTTCTGCCGCCTTGTCGTTAAAGTACCGCATTGAGATCGTCCGGGAGGCGTAGTACGTGTGGATAAACCCGCACGCCACTGCCGGGATCATCGAGATCTTGCGCTTTACTTCGCCTAAAGGCACAGTGGGCGGGACGCGATAGATGACGCATGACTCGCAGGGATCCCAGGTAAGCAGTCGTATCGGCGGCGTTATCGTCTCGGCATCGGCCGGTAGGTTGGAGCCCAGCAGTGCTATTACGCTGAACACGTGGTCGAGTTCTGTGTAAGGTGCATTCGACTCGTCCATGGCCCCCCTGAACCACCTCGGACAAGTCTGGCACGGGGGAGAAGGGGATCTTGACATGATGTAAGCAGGTGCTTGTGTTTTTTTTGGTGCTCTTTGGCGTTGCGCAAACTGTTGCAAGGGGGGCAGGGCAGAGGAAGAGGAAAGGGGAGACAGAGCGCACTGTGCGTGTGGTTTTTGGAGGTGCCACCACGCATCAGGCCAGAAAATAGTGTCCGGTCTTTTCTGTGGCGCAGGGGATGTATTTCATTGAGCCTTGCAGGGAAGAAACGTCAAGTGCCCCGAGGAAGCGGCTGGCCAGAGCCGTGCCGCGCGCAGGGCGGCGCGCACTACTTTTTTTTCTTTTGAAGGAGCATCTGTTGATAGTCACGTGAAGAGGGCCCATAAGGGGCAATGAGAACTAGGGCGGCGGTTCTGGACTTGTTTGGACTTGTTGGTTGGTAGGTAGGTTGTGGGTGATGCCATGCCGGAACACGTGTGCCTGTTCTCGGTTGCCGCCGGGCCGCTCGTCCGTGTCTTGAGGCTGCCCCGCCTCTCAACACATATCCGGAAAAACGGAGGACGCCACGAGGGAGCCCACCTACAGAGCGCTTGGGGTGACGTCTGCGAGGCAGAGGCGAGGGGAGGTGCCCATGCCGTGAGGGGTTCCCACAGGCAGCCAGTGGCGTGGACCCCTCAGCCACACCTTCTGGCCCCAGCTGCCGTTGCTGGGCTCGAACCTGCGACATGACGGCGTTCGTCCGCAGGTGGGGAGCGGTCCACGCCCCGCCTCGGACGGCCAACGGCCGTCCGTGGAGCCGCCCCCCCTACCTCCCATTTATCACGTGATCCGTCCCCCCATCCCCGCTGGCTTGTGATAGGCTTCCAAAAGGGGCTTCCAGGAATGCTTGCCGTAGACGGTGGTGCTGTGGCTGAGTGGTCTAAAGCGGTAGGCTCAAGTCCTACTCCTCGTAAAGAGGGCATGGGTTCGAACCCCATCGGCACCATGGTTCCTTTTTGCAGATGGGCGCGTTGTTTTTGAAAGCGGGCTGGGGCTGGCGGTCCGCCGAGCCCGCCAGCCAGGGGAGCTAACCAGCCAGCTTTTGCAAGAAACGAGAAGCGGGGTGGTGCATGTTGCGGCGCTGATATCAGCGCCGGGCCCTGCTGTAGGGTCCGATCGCACGCAAAAGAGCGAGATTCAGCGAGAGAGGTTTGGCTCGCGGTACAGCTTGAGCGCCAGGCTGCTGGCCATCACGGACAGGCTGCTGGCGATCATGAGCAGGCCGGCGATGACGGGCGGCAGGCCGCGGTCGATGGCGGGGTAGAGGATGCCGGCGGCGATCGGGATGCAGACAATGTTGTACACGGACGCCCAGACAAAGTTG